CAACATTTTCCTTTTCAAAAATCAAATCCCACTTGAAAGATTTCTCTCTTGAGTTGACTAACCAGATAAGTCAATTGAATGTTTCTTAATTTGTTTAGTATTATAGATCACATTATCAGTTTATTGGAATATTTATCTTATAAATACAAATTTATCCTGAAATATTACCAGAATTGGTTGGTTGGAACCAATTCCAGGGACTTACATTAAGAGAAAAAAAAAAAAAAAAAAAAAAAACATTAAAGAAAAAAAAAGAAAAAAGAAAAAAAAAAGAAAAAAAAATGAAGAAAAAAAGAAAAAAAAAAGAATAAAGAAGAAAAAAAAAAAAAAAAGAAAAAAGAAAAAAAAGAAAAAAAAAAAAGAAAAAAAAAAAAAAAAGAAAAAAAAAAGAAAAAAAAAGAAAAAAAAGAAAAAAAGAAGAAAAAAAAAGAGACATTGATAGATTTGAAGTTAACACCCTGAGGTGACAGTGTTTCATGCCAAATGCAATCGTCAACCATGACAATTGCATTTAGCATGAAAAAGACTGTCTCCTCTGGTTGTTGAACTCAATGTCCACTTATAAACATGAGCTCTATCCCTGATATTGAGCACTTTAACCCATAAATATAGCATTACCTTAAAACTATATTTTATAGAGTGCCGATGTCAATAAAATAGTTTATATATATATATATATATATATATATATATATTTTTTTTTTAAGCATTTCACCCCAAGCAAGGCGGGAAGCCACTAGCATGCAAAGAGTTACAGAAGATTGGAGTGAGAGAAAACAGGAGTGTTAGAGGAAAGGATGAAGAGAAGGATAGGGGATAGATCAAGGAATCTGGAGACATCATTTGACATTACATTTGAATAGTTGGAGATTATAGCTATCAGGGAAACAGGAAAAGGGGAGGGAGTTCCACAGGCGAGATGTGTGAGACATGAAGCTATTGGAGTAGAAGAAATGGCTACATTTAACATTTTTTGACAGTGAAAGGGTGAGAGCAAGATGCCAGCCTAGTAGAACGCTTAAATTCATGAAGTCATCAACTCATCAGAGCAGTTACCATGAAAGTATTTGTAAAAAAAAGGAGGGAGGTAACGGCATATCTGTGAGAGAGTGGCTACAGACGAGATGCCAGATCAGGGCCAATTATATTGCATATCTGTCTCTGGATTTTATCAAGGACCTTGAGACAAACAGAAGGTGCTCTGAAACATATATGGCAGCAATACTCCATGCAAGGGCGAATGGTCGATTTGTAGATTTGAAGGATCGACTCCGGCAAGAAAAATTTCTTGGCGCGGCACAGGGAGCCAACTTTCTTTGCAGTGGACGAAGCTATTGACTCAAGATATTTGTTCCATCTCAGGTCAGCAGACAATGCAAGACCGAGTAGTCGCAAAGAGGCGCTCTCGTGGAGTTGAGAGTCAGACATTCTAATGGGAGGCAGGGATGGTTCTCTCTGGTGAATAATAGAGAGCTGTGTTGTTTTTGAGGCTTTAAAGCCAATTCCTGTCCCAGTTCTCAACCAATTGGAGGTCCTTTTCGAGACAAACGGCCAGGTTAGTTTTGTCAGCGACATTAAATTTGTTTTTGAGGCAGGAGTAAATAGTAGTGTCATCCGCATAGATGTCTACTTGGGAACCTATGACATCAGGAAGATCGTTATAACAGAGTTATTAAGTATATATTAATAAATATACATATTATTACTCACTGATAGCACATCTCGAGTTTCTTGCACAACGCAATCTTCAGGTGCTGAGTATAGACTGATCGCCACGTAATTTCAATTTTAATACAAATATCTCATTAATGCAATGTTGGCACAATCCAGATATAGGGATTTTCTAAGCCCGGCTTAGATGTGGCACAAGGCCAAAAGTATGGGGTACCCAGTGAGAATCGAACTCACTACTCAGTCGTAATTGATCTAGCAAGACAAGCTTGATAACCATTACACCACACTGAGGTGTCCACAATCCAGATATTATATGGGGATTACCTTTTTTTTTAAACATATATATTGTCTTTAAAACAGTCAGGATTTTTATTTTACATTTGAAATATAAAATGGAGATTAATATCTTACTTTATATTTATAATAAACAGGGATTAATGGTATTTATAAAAAAAAAAAAAAATAAATGTAGATGGACTTAAAAAAAAAAAAAAGTTTTTATTCAAAATTGGGATTTATATTTTATATTAAACATAAAGGGGGATTACTGTTTTTTTGGTTTATTTTTTTAAATCATACTTATTATAAAACCCAGGTTTTGTGTGTGTGTGTGTGTGTGTGTTCGTTTATACATTGGATCGGATTTCCATACATTTTTCAAATATCTATTTCAACAAAACTTCACAAGACTAAATTTCAATTGACCTTGTAGTAGTTCGAACCAGCTATAAAAAAAAAACCAAAAATTGTTTTTGCATGAAATCAATTTGAAAACAGAATTAAGAGGCATCGAGAATGAAAGGGGGACAACTCATATCGAGTTATACTTATTATAAAACCCAGGTTGGTTGTGTTTGTGTGTGTGTGTGTTCATTTATATATGGGATCGGATTTCCAACATTTTTCAATCGATTTCAACAAAACTTCACTTTTTTTTGGCAGGTAGTGTTTCTTATTGTCTTGCACACTTTTTTCTTTATTTTTACATTCAGAATACTTTAAAAATTCCATTTACAAGACAATTGTTCATAATAAAATTCTATTCAACCGGTAGACTCATAACGATTGAAAACAATGTTTTTGTTTCAGTTTGGGTTTGACCAATCTATAAAAAAACAAAATTAATTAAGACATGCGTGTCCGTCAACCTTAAACAATAATCTTTGTCAATTTTATTTTTCAGTCTTTATGATGGTCGATACTTGGTCTATCGTGTACTGTTAACTTCCCCGGGTAACGCCGGGCTCTCCTGCTAGTTTTATATAAAAATAAACAAACCTAGAAACCATAAAATAATAATAATAATAAAAAAAAAAAAAAAAAAAAAAAAAAAGACCCATCTATTTTAAGAGGAAAATACTATGTGTGAAATAACACACTTTCAAAAGCTATTTACTAAACTTAGCTTTGACTGGCACAAGGCAAGAAAAATAGAGCTTGATTACTCTAAGCTGATGCTTGGCAGCCACCAGTTTTTCAGTTACCTGATCATTGGGAAATAGTTCTTGGTGAGGTGTTTTAAGATCTGCAGAGACTTTTTTTATGGCACTGGCTCGATGATCGAAACACTGAATCATTGTTCAAGGCTTTGGAAGGATTTTACGGACATTAAATTTATTAACCAAGATGTCTCCCGTAACTGAACTTGGCCAGTTTGCTCCGGAAACATGACTGGGGTCTGTAAACCAGATGGATTCATTTTTACCAAAGTCAAATCATTCAAAAATTTGGTTACTGGCTCAAAAAAAAAAAAAAAAAAAAAAAGGACATTAAAAAATTTATTATTTCACGTATTGTATGCAAAAATTATTTTTGAAAACTGGCATAACCTTTCTTTACATTATTTATATCTAAACTAATGTCATTTTTGTTATTTACACTATTTATATTCAGACTATTGTCAGCATCTTTGTTGTTGTTGTTGTTACCAAAACGTTTCGACTTGTGTCCTCTGGCCTTCGTCAGGTGTATATTGATCTGTGTAACCTACACGGAATGAATTTCTAGGATGAGGAGTTATCATTACTTACACTATTTATATTCAGACTATTGTCTTTATCTTTGTTGTTTTTATCAGAATCTTTCAGGCATTGTGACAACATCTTTGGCCTTCCTTAGGGGTATATATCAATCTACAGGGTGTTATATAGGAATAAAGTGTCACTACCAACACTTTAATTTAAACATAGATCACCAGTGAGCAAAACACAGGCGATCTCATTACTGAATTAAGTGGATCACATGACTAATAGAGGAAACACATAAGTAGAAAGTATCATGACAATGATCGCTATTTCTAGTCTATCCTCTATAATTATACAGATTGCTATTCTCTACTCTATTCCCTAAACTATCTCTCTATTCTGATCACTATACAGATTATTTGTTGAGCGAGTATTATTAGGCAATTACTATTAGTGCAAGATTATTCGAAGGTGTCTGACACAGATTTGGTCAACGGCGTACTATAGTTGTATCTGCGATTACAAAGGCTCTACTACAATGAGCATTACGAAAGTGGCAAGTATTTGTTGGCATCACAAAATTGTCAAACAAGTGTTTGTTGACATCACAAAACAGGGAAATATGAACTGAATCTTTTATTTAACTTCCGGGGGGTAGACTGTACTTGTTCCACTGCTCAGGTGTAATTTTTATTTAGTACTGTTTAGTTATGGCTCACCAGTTTCCAATGAGTGCAAGTACAAACCACCCAACCTATGGATTGAAGTCATCTTTGTTGTTGATATCATAACATTTTGGCTGTTGTACTACACTGACTTTTTCAGGTAACTATCAATCCAGGTAAAATTAAAGAATCTTTTTTCAAATAATTGACCTTGATCTGGCATCTCATCTGCAGTCGCTCTCTCACAGACATGCCGTCACCTCTCTCTGTCTTTTTTTACAAATACTTTCAAGGTAACTGCTCCAATGACTTGCTTTTGCTAGTCCCCAGACTTCATGAATTTAAGTGTTCAACTAGGCTGGCATCTCGCTATCACTGTCAAAACTGTTAAATGTAGCCGTCTCTTCTACTCCAATAGCTTCATGTCTCACACATCTCGCCTGTGGAGCTCCCTCTCCTTTTCTTGTTTCCCCTGATAGCTATAATCTCCAACTATTCAAATGTAATGTCAATCGACATCTCCAGATGCCTTGATCTATTCCCCGTCCTTCTCTTCATCCTTTCCTCTATCACTCCTATTTGCTCTCACTCAAACTCTCTGTAACCCCTTGCATACTAGTGGCTTCCACCTTGCTTGGGGTGAAACTCTTGAAAAAAAAAAAAAAAAAAGACAATAAGCCTAAGGAATTAAATCACCTTGAATTTTGTAATGGTGAGTTCAATCCCTGGGTTGGGTAGTACAAACTTAATTCTCTATAAGACAGTGGTTCCTAGCAGCCTAAAAAAAAGAAGGCATATAGCGATTTGACCGTTCACCTCCTCATTTTGTCTGACTAGTCTGCAGCCAACTCTTATGAGAAGGTTGCAACAGAATAAAATTTGCCAATTGCTACTATCCTGTCTGATGGTTTTATTTTGTGGGTAACAATCTCAAAGAATTATTTCTTTTGCATTAAGCCACAAACATCCGGCTAGAAAAAGCTTCATTCTGTGAATGAACCTGGTGTCTGGTCTGCGCTGCTACAGTACAACATTCAAATCCTAAACAGGTGCATTGTATTCAGTCACCAGCATGCGTATGGGTTATGCCTGGTGGTTACAGCCAGAGGTTGGGTTATATCTTAGCAAACATGAAATTCACATCTCAAAATATAGAAACATTTTTGGTTAATTTGCAGTATAAGCACTAAAAGCCCACGATAATGAAAATGTTCCATTCTGGTGTGAAATTGCCTGATTATTTTGAAAATGATATTAAAAATTTGCGCTCTATTACCATTTAAGAGTTATGAACAATGCAAGTTCGATCTCTTTCATGTTGTTTGACTGATATTACTGGCATTGTTTACATACGTTTGCCTCAAGTAGTAATGCATGGAAGCTTATTTAGTTAACGGCCTGGTGCATTTCAAACACAAATTATATTGATTGGAATCAATTTTTCGTTTTGTTTTTTTCTCCCCAGTAACATCATCAAAATCATCCATTTTTGAGACATTTGTAAACACAAGTTAGTTCTCAGTTATAAAAAAAATCTTGCAAAAATAAATATAATTTTCTGAAAAATTATTTGAGGAATATTAGCGGATTTAAAATATAATTAATCAGGAAACAAATATTATTTACTTTAAGTGTACAATATTGTAGAAATAAATTTTTTAACCAAACAAAAGCTGTGTTTACATGTTTGATGAGGTGATGACAGATCTAACATTGTTCTACTGAGACTTATCTGTAAAATATAATTTAAGAAAATCGTGTGCACTTTTTTTTTTTTAATAATTTTTAAGTACTCAGTAACCTTAAAAATTTAGGAAAATATTCTCCATAATCTAATGTTTTATTGAATTGTAGAAATTTCAGCTTTATAATTTAATATTTTTCTGATAATGTGGCATGATGATTTCTATTAAGCTTTTCCATTTATGATTAGTAAATATAGTTTTCACTTGATAACAATATAATCTAAAAGGTGGAAATTAATGCAGAATTGTAAGATTTAAAATTTTATAAATTATTAAAATTAAAATCTTAAAAAATGAAAACAATTCTTGTAAAATTCATTATCCATTGAAAAAATGTTTCTAAGACAATAATGTCTTTAATATATCTTATTTAAAAAAACAAAAGCTTTTCTAATTTTATAATGTCTAAGCTCTATTGCATTTTTTATTTTATGATTCAAAGCAGATTTTTGGTAAATGAGTAACTGTCTGAAAGGAGAAAAAAAAAAAATATTTACATTTTCTAAAGAGTCCTGTGTTTAGCTAATATAAAAAAATATTTGGATTAAAATTTAATTTCTTGAAATTTCTTAAATTAAAAAAGTCGGGGTAACAGGTGTGTATATAAAAAAAAATAAATATATATATTTTATTCATTTGTGAATAAGTCTTGAAAATCTCATTAAAATCAGACAATTATTTGATTTTTGCAAGAATTTCAAAAACAATGTTTTTAATGCCAAAAAAACACTAAATTTCTCATAGTAATCTTTGACCCAAAGCTGATGCAAGAAAAACAAAATTTTTCACCAAAATTTCTAACTAGAAAGGGATTAAAAAATTTAATAAAATAAGAAAAAAATACTTTAGACTTTCCTCTTAATAATAACAAACATTTTGACGTTAAAACTTTGCTTTTATCAAGTTTGGGGCCTTTTTCATCATGCTATGCTTTTTTTTTTAGCCAAAAACCGGAGATGACTATAATATACATTAAATTTTTTTTTTTTTTTTTTTTTTAACAAATTTAGTTTTTTTTTTTGATTTTGTTTAAGATTGTTTTCTTACATTTTGAAAGATTTTCATGAAACTGGGTAAAGTTGTCGGTTTCATTCAAACCCAGCCGGTTATCTCTACCAGTTCTTTGGAATCCATCAACAAGGCTCAGGTCACCAAAACTTTCCGAGAGAGAATAATTGGAACTTGAAGGTAGTTTGGATGATTGAATGATGTGACAAACTTCAGCCAGGGCGGGCTGCAAACTAACAATCGTACCAAAGCATGTCAGGCAGGCCACTCGAATGTTAGGATCTGGAATTATACGACAAAGAAAAGAAATCAATCAATCAACAACCAATCAGATTGCTCTGCCTCTTCACTAACATACATTAAGGGGGAAAAACACTGATGCCATTGAAAGAGGGTAGAGACTGCACAGTGAATTTATAGTGGGTTATCAGTTATAGTGAAATGTATGAGGGTTGAAACAGATTAGTTTCATTTGGTCTTGTTAGTTAGATAGCACCCCCCCCCGCATAAGATGGGTATAAAACAAGAAAATCAAATTGTAAAGTGAAACAACAAATTTATATACATATAAATCAATTAAGGTCTCTACAAATAAAATTAATATATTCTGGTTGATACAAGGTCGTCAAAATGTTCGTAGTAGTCCTTGCAAGAATGAGTTTATGCATATGTAGGCGGGAATGTTCGTGTGGATGTATCTATGTATGTATGAGCGTTATCAATGGGTAGGAATATCTTTGAAGTAATTGCTCAGTCTTAAAATGTTCCGTTCGTTTATCAAGTAATCGTTTATCGAGGGAGAAAAGTAAAGATAATAATAATGATTGCTTGATATTTGTCAAGGGATGTGTTAATACGCTCGTCTCCTTCTCTCTGGTGACAGGTGAACTTGCCTATCTTTTTTGTTTGTTGGGCTTGAAAAAGTCAGTTGGGAATTCACTCCCCCATATGATTCAGGCATTTCCATTGGATGACGAACAAACTTCGCATCGGCTTGCGAAAAGGTCTGTAAAAGAATTTATTTCTGTGAATTGAAGATTTGAATTTTGTTTTTAAATGTTTGCTAGTTTTCTATTGGCTGAAAAATATTTTGCATCAAGGTGTGAAATTTCACGAGTTTTGTTTTGGATTCGCTTTTGTGTGTGTGTTAAGCAAAGTTTGTAAATTCGAGTCTTTTTAATTTCTAAAAAACCAATGAGTCAGTGCTTAGCATTTGAATTTTATATCTAGATCTTGTTTTGTTTTCTACAAATTCAACAGCATTTAAATTTCTTAAATGAATTCATTTAATCTGGGCTTGAGAAAAATCACAGGTTTTCAGATGTTTAGGACATCAAAATAAGGACATCACAGAATCAGCAATGCCATCTGAATAAATTAGTTTATAATTGTGACATGATGCATCATGAGTATCTCATACAGGACTTAATCTGGAGACCATTGATGAGTTTCAGGGAATCCATGAGGATCAGATAAAAATTAACATTTATACTCACTATACAGCGCTTGTCCCAATCAACAGTTTCCCAATGAAAGAAATAAAAGTAAACGCACACAGCCAATACATATAATGTCAACCGCTAGGCATCTCTTGACTTGCTGTTGGGCCCCTGTTTACCTATCTCTGCATGACCACCATCTTAATAAGGGTTCGATAAGGTTTTGAGATGAGAAATTGAAGAGGTAAGTTTGAAAACCAATCAGGTTCCTTACATTTATGCAGGTTCAAATGCCCTTAGGAAAGGTATGAATCCACCTCTCTTCCTCCTAAATCAGGGCTTATGGGTTTTTGGGTTCTGTGAGGATCAGATAAAAATTAACATTTGTATTTGATATACAGCCCTTATCCCAAGCAACATTTTCCCATTGAAAGAAATAAAAGAAAACGCACCCAGCCACTACTTACAATGCCGACCGCTGTCTCTCGACTTGACGTTTGTTCCATGTTTACCATCCCAACGCGTGTCATCATTCTCTGCAGGACAGCAATCTTTTGCCACTTCATAAGAGCAAGTCATAATTTCATGGCTTATTGCAACTTGATTATTTTCTCATATAATGTCAAGAATTAATTGACAGTGGCTGGCTGAAAAGTGATGTGATAGGTGCAGTATAGAGAAATGCTTGTACAAGTGTTGTGAAAAACCAACTGGACTGAGTATCTACTTGCCTATGAAGGGCTATTTCTTATAGGGGTCATCCATGTCTAAAGGCGTCCATGACTCAAAAAAGATTAAGAAGCACTGACCTAATGGCTTAGGACATCTATATAGTCAAGTGGAATGTAAATGATCTTATCTCGGCCTGAAGTGATGGCAGTTTTATGGCAACCAGTAAAATCAACATGTGCAAGCTTCAAAGCAACCACTCACTGTTTATGAGTAAGGAAATAAATACTTTTGGGATCAAGTGACACTTAGTTGGAAGGTAGAGAATTCCAGTTGCAGGCTTATATATTAAGGCCACACACTAGATAGGAGCTAGTAACAAGAGGTTCATTGTGACATAGAGATAGACATACTCTCCTGTCACCTATCTGCCTAAGTATGTTGAAAACAGGCTTTGTTTTCTTGCTATGGAGATATTTCACTTTTCAATTCCCAGTTTTTGTTAACACCACTGTGGGGGAGGGTGTGAAGCTATCCAGTCACCAAAAAACTGACCAAGGGACCTGGTTGTATGTTTATGTAATGATAATAGCCCATCTTAAAAAATTATCAGAAATGTACAGACTGTAAACATATGAGATCCTTGCCCAAGCTTTTCACCAACCAGCCAATGATTATCTTATGTAGCATTTTGGTTCTTGATCTTATCAGTGTGCACCCAAAACTGGGAAAAGGCCTGCTGCATGCTCACAAGATAGTAAGATGAAAAACCAATGCCATATCAAGTAATGATAACACAAACCCTGTTTCCCATATTATAAAATAGGTGTTTGCTTTTAGGTGACACTGGATAACTTCTGATGGGTGGATCTCTTCTCTCCTACTAACTCTCTGCCTATCAACACATCCCAGTGTGGTTGGCAATACAAATAAATGGCACTGAAACTATGTGTTATGGGGGTCCTCCCCTTTTTCATATAAGCGGACTCGACCAGAGTGTTACTTGGACTGCTGCCGTTAAATACTCAGAGACAGTCAGTCAGAGTAGAGAGATTGAGATTGAGTTGGAGGTAGAGTAGTAGTGTGAGGTAACCACTTGTAGAAGTCTCAGTTACAAGCACGTAGACTCTAGTCCTACTTCAAGACTGTATATATCTATATTATTATTATTGCTACTAACTGCGTTCCTGGATTTACTAACAGTACTATCCATTGTATTATTGTGTAAATACATTTAATTTCTTATATTTAATTCTTGCGTTTGTCATTCATTAGAGACAGAATTTCATCTCGGGATCCACAACACTATGCAATGGACAAGCCCATCTCCCTGGTTTTGTCGTTACTTGATCACCTAAAACCCCTCAGCCACTCCTTTATTTCTCTGTGCCCCTTTAGTCAAAGTGGAAAACTAAACTTCAAAAAGAACCTTCTGACTACTAAACAGAAATTGATTGAGATTAAAACCACCTCTTTATTCATGTGGGTGTCCATAGTATCATTCACACCCCATGGGACAAAAAAAGTGAAGAGAAATTATACCAAAAGCTGGCATATATAATTAAAAAAAAAAAAAAAAAAAAAAAGAAGAAAACTCGATTTCTGCCTGTGACAGATTGCACAAATCACCATTAGTTTTTCTTGTATTTAGAAACTAAGGGACATGACCAATGTGCCAGCACCTTGCCAAAACCAAATTGGATAAGTATAACTTGTAGTTAAAATAATTTATAACAAAAAAATAAGTTCAGGCTGGGTAACTGTGGTGAACAATCATGTAGAAGCAAGCAAGCAAGCCAGAGTGGCTTGCATCTGGTACAAAGGCAAACAAGTTCCTTACCTTAACACACGGCATGTAGCATTGGCATTTTTCTCCTTGAAAATAGTATTAATCTCCACTCTTTATATTGGACTGTTCCAACAATTTGTGCTCTAATGGTGGCTTTTGTACAGCTTAGCATGGTTCGACCAGTAGCAAGTCATGTGCTGATTGATCAGACTGGGGAAGACTATTTGCCTGGGTAACCGAGGAGAAAAGTGAAGAACGCTAATTCGTTAGTTGGCCGTGGTGTTGGCACGATAAAAGGAGGCTGAAGCAGTGAGAAGGGAGAATGGGTTAACATTTGCGAAGTGTGTGGAACTGAAGAACGGTGGATTGAACAAGCGGCATTTTATATTGAATGAATGACGTCTGTAAAATATTCTCAACGGATGGTTGTTGATTGAGAATGTTTTTAATATCTACACATGGCTCCCAAGTTGCCTTGGCTGTCTCATCCTTCAAACTTACCCCTACCACCACAAAAAAAAAATAAAAAATAAAATAAATTAAATAAATAAAAAAATAAAAAAACCTCATAAGACTTTCTACCATAGAGCATAAATTAGCTTACCACGATGAGTGACAAGATGCCTTAACTGTTTTACAACTCTCGTGAGCATTCCTGGTTTTAAACGATGGTAAGGGCTGTTGGCCACCAGAGTGGAAAGACACTGCAAAGAGAAGATGACACATGGGCTTTTAGACAAAGAATGTCTGTAGGTTGTATGATAGTATCTGAAACAAAAGAAGTGGTGGTGAGACAAAGTGGAAAAGCTTATAAATGATGGTTTTCACCGATATCTGATGATTTTGGCTTATTCAGGTCAGAATAAAAGAAAAAACTGTGCAAGAAAAATTGGGATTTTTTAGGCTAAGTGGGGCAATGAGGTAATTTAATTTATTGCCCCACTTAGCCTAATCTGATGGACAGAAACCAGAAAGGGTTTTTTTTCTCCAATAAAGTAAATTATTGTCCTTCTTATCCTCAAAAATCCCAATGCATTTTTCTTGCACCCCATTTTGCCTTTCATTCTGGACTGAAGAAGTGTTGAACAGGCATCAAAGAAACTAATACACAAGGCAAAGAGACTGTAGTGTCACAAATTGCATGCTTTGGAATTCAAATTTTGATACCAAATAAAAACAGAGATTATATTTTGATACGGGTCAGGTCAATTTCAACCTCCAAACAAGTAACAAAGAAAAAGATTCTCCCAAGAGGTTTCTTTTTGATGTCATGTATGCAGTAATACACATCCCCACTCTTCTGAATGGCTTCCTGTTCCTTGATAGCTGTAATTATACGTGTGTCTTCATCAACTTAATTCCTTAGCTCCTCTACGTTTGACCAAGCAAGATTGATTTAGGCCGATTTATTTATTTATTTTTTTTTTTTTACAGCTTATGTGCATAATATTTAAAGCCAGAAATATTTTGTCAGTGTCTCGATCCATCTTCACATTACTATTTTTTTTCTAATCATTTTAAATTAATATGAGCGATACAACCATGTTCTTTAGAAATAGGTTTCTAACTTTGAACCATTTTTCAAGAGTTCATCATTCTTGCATTTGTATTGTGTAACGCCATACTGTGGTTGGCCTGCATTTGCAATGAAAAACAGAAATTACTTGAATCTGCATTCAAGAAACGACTCAGCTTTTACCTTAACTAATTGCGTCAATGTGAGAGGATAGTTCTCAGAAACAACAGCCAAAAGCAGACTTCGATGAAGTTCCTTCAGGGTGGAGCCAAGCACCAGCGAAAATGGAGTAAATGCTGTCCGCACTTGGTCACTGAAAGAGAAACACAAATGATTATTTCTCAAAATATATCCGGGTTTTCTGGGAAAGTAGGTAACATGTGCACAAAACATACTGTATTGATTATATTTGTATTACATCAATAATAAAGTCTTTCAATACGGTTTCAAAATCCATTTGCATTCCTTGTCTGTTAAATTAATAGTCATCATTAAATTACCACTTTACCTGCAAAACATTATTATTATTTATTAAAAATAAAAATTATGAAATTAAAAATGATTTTAATGAATTCTCTGCAGGTGACTATTTTTGCCAAGCAAAAGGAGGTTAGTCCTGCCAATGCAATTTGAATTTCTTGGTTGTGCAGTCATATCCTTCTATGGCAACACCTAAAATAATCTTGACTAAAATTGAGAGCCAAGGTTACTGCAATTTTAAATATATAAAACACTATATTTTGAGGGTATTTCCTATACAGTAAAAGGAGGGGGGGGAAGTAATATTTATAAATGATGCAGAGTGTGAAATGAATCTTAGACCCCTATTATAATACTGGTATAATACTTACAGTAGACCTACTTTTGCACCCCACCCCTGTATACCATTTATCATGATTCTGACAATTTCTTACAACTTTTTCTATTTCAGACTGCCCCCACCCCAAAAAAAAAACTTATTGGTTAAAATAGGTAAAGTGGTATCAACTTATTTTTATCCCCAAATTCAAAAATTTTCAAAAACTACCAAAAGTTATTAGGCCAGATCACAATAGAAAAAAAAAAAAAAAAAAAAAAATTTATATTATTAAATTTTATAAAAAGTTAACAGCAGGTTCAGTTTGTTATATAAAAGTTTACAAAACACTGAACAAATTTGACGTGATTTCTGAAAACATGTAAAAAAAAAAAAAAAAAAATTTTTATGTAATTCTGAAGTTCTTAATCTCGAATTCTTTTTTCATATATTTACTCTTGATTAAGCACTAACTACAAATTTCAAAATTAAAAAAAATTCTGACATTTTTCGGACTATTGTCTTCATCTTTGTCGCCATATTAATTACAACGTTTCAGCTGTTGTACGCTCTGGCCTTCTTCAGGTGGTTGGAATGTCGAACTGAACCCTTTATTTTGCTTACTGTTGCAAGTTCCACGTGCCATGTTTAATGGATGTCAGTTATCAGTTATCTCCTGTTAATTTCCCTCTCCAAGTTCTCCACTGCCTTAACCGGGTATTGAACTCACACTCTTTGGGTCCTCAAGGACACATGGCACAGTGGATAAAGGCATTGGTTAGATCCAGTGACAGGACCCAGAGCGTGAGTTCAATACCCAGTTAAGGCAGTGGAGAACTTTCAGAGGGAAATTAACAGGAGATAACTGACATCCATCAAACATGGCACGTGGAACTAGAACAGTCTACCCCAGTGAGCGAAATAAAGGGTTAAGTTCGATATTCCAACCACCTGAAGAAGGCCAGAGCATAAAACGGCCGAAACGTAATAAATATGGCTACAAATATGAGGACAATAGTCTGAATAATGTAAATAATACTTCATCTTAGAAATATAGACAGATAAAAAATTTTTTACAACAAATAAAAATGCTGTAGTCCTACAGTAATGAAATGGAGGGTAGAGGATGTGTGATCATCTTCAAGAAAAGCTTTTGTAAGCCCCACTTACTTTCATGCTTAGGTCAAAAAGAAAATGAAGCTAATTTTAAAAATGATTGTGGGAAGAAAGAGACAGAATAATTGCCTTACCTGTATTCTGCAGCTGCCAAGTAAGATCGTGTACCTTCAAGAAGAGCAGATAAAGCTCCCAATGCTCCAAGTCGACACTAAAAGGAAATTCAGTGTTTAAGGAAAAAGATAAAATATGTCTAAAAATCTTAAGAGTCGCATTTATGAACATAGAAGAGACCTTCGTTAGGATAACTCATTAAATTTCATAGGGGTCACATAGAAATAAAAGAGTCCAGAATTTTCATTTTTAAAAACGATACCATATTTAAAAAGAAAAAATTCATGATTGAGAAAATACCTCAGAATATTAGATAAATAATTATCATAGCCATCAGACTTCTACAATATTAGATCGGTAGCAAAGTCTCATCATTTTATGGTTGAAATGGCCAGGTTCTATGCTGACATTTAATTTATTTTCAACAGGATCCGTTCATATTCTCAAATGAGCTTTTAAAATAAGAGAGGAAATTACCATATTGATACATATTGCTTTATTCCGAGTACTTTCGACAATAACACAATGTCATACTCAGAGTGTTTTTAATACAAAATGTAGTGGCCATTATTTCCAAAGATAAAATTGTTATGTTTATCTGAAAGTTATAATTTTACATGTGGAGTAAGGACTGCTAGTTTTTGTGCCATGTGGTGTATGTTACACTCTAGGAGAGATAACCGATTATGATATGTGAAGAGTTTGAAAAAGAGAAAATAGTATGAGAAGCTATCAATATACACTGTGACATTTTAGTTTGTCTATTGTCAACATTTTAGAACATTTGTGCAGTATTCCTAATTAAGTTTTGGTTTCAGTTTTTTAATATAGGATTTTTATTTTATGTTTATTATTTTCATGAGAAAGTATGGATGTATTTTTGACAAGAATTTTTCTAAATTGCAAATATGGATAAAAATGTTTAGAGATGTTAGACATGTCATTCAAATGAAAACTCAACCGCTGAGACAACGTAGTCGTAGTATAGACAACATAAATATTTTTTCCGTTGGAGATACAATCTCCCAGAGGACATTTAAATTTATATACAACGTTGATTTTCTGTAACACATTGGTTGGTGGGGAAGAGTCGTTAAGAAGTTGGAGATATTGGATTTAGTGTAGTATATAATTAATTTTATTAAATTATATATTATAATTTTTTTTACTAGCCTCGGTGGTGGATATGTTGGTATCTATTAATTGTTTTTTTTAGGATATTTTCATCTTGTTTATAATTAGAATACATTTGGTTACAATATAAAAGATGAATATGTTTGGGGTTAGTTGAAGCAGTATTATATTAAAATTGTTTTATATTAGCATTACTGAGAGAGCATCTTATTTGTTTAAGAACAATTAGGAAAGTTATTATTAATAAGAATTTGTTTTATGTTTTTTTAGTTCGCTGTAGATCTATTTTGTGGAAGAATTAATATCAAGGTCTATATTAATAGACTCTCACACTATTTTCTATTTTTTTTTTTTAATAAAAAAAAGACTCCACACATCAATAGTTACCTCCCTTTTTGTTTGCCATATGGCACAAAAACTAGCAGTCCTCACTTCACATATAAAATTATAACTTTCAGATGAACATAGCAATTTTCTTTATGGAAATAATGAACACTACATTTTGTTTTAAAAACACACCCTGAGGATGACACTGTGTTAATGCTGAAAGTACTCGGAATAATACTGACACCAGAAAGCTCATTTGAAAATATAAATCGATCTTGTTGAAAATAAGCAGACAAAACTTGTCTATATATATATATATATATATATATATATATATATAGGGTTTTTAGCTTCTATTTTTGAAACATGGTTGGAACTGTGTAGCGAAAATAACCATATTTTAAATCAATTAATTTATAATATAAAGTAATATAGTTTTAAGGTGTGCTATATTTAGGGGAAAAGTGCTCAATATGAGAGATAGAGTGTATGTAAATATAAAAGTGAACATTGAAGTCAACATTCAGCGGCAACAGTCTGTTTCATGCTAGACAGTCGTCAGGCTGCCTAATGATTGCACATAGCATGAAACAGCCTGTCACTTCTGAGTGTTGTCTTCAATGTTCACTTATGTATATATATATATATATATATATATATATATATATATATATATATAAAATTTATTTTTTCCAGAAAAGTGTACCAGGTTTTAACTTGCTTGTTGCAATCTTCAGGCATGTTATATTAAACCTAGTCCATTGACAATGAGCATTGGGTTTCTTTTACAATTCTGAAGCTCTTTAGCTTATTTTTGTAAGTATATATATATATAGGCAGCACATCTTCATTCAAACATGATTCATTGAATAATATAGACATATTGTATCTATTTTTATACTGACTCTTTCCAGTTGTCTAATTACTTTCTTGATGTTAAGATGAAATTCATCAAGGAAAGTCCTATAGTTTTTTTGTTTTTTTTTTTCAAACCAATTCCTTTTGATCTTTTGTAAGATCATCTTCAGGGGTAAATTACAAAGATAAACTTATTGTTACTGCAATAAAATCTGCATTCTGTTGTGATAGTGATTTTTAACAAACAAGCACAAACATGTTATACTTATTTTAAATGTATCTGCTGTAGTTACAGAATCTTTTGCAAAACAATTGTTTCAAAATAAGGGAGCTGATCGGAAATTGGTGGACATGCAAAATGGCATGTATGTTGTTGCTATATTTGTAATAAATTTTCTTGAGTGTTGGTTTGTTGATTTTGATAGTGGGCCTCAAGAATTTGAAGTTATTGTTTATTATTTTTGTAGTGTAGTATACTGGTGTTGCCAACAAGTATTTTCAGGTATTTTTGAAGCTGAACGAGAAGGTGTTTTTTAGATGATGGGAAAAAAAAAAAAAAGAAGGGGAAAAAAAAGAAGAAAAAAAAAAAGAGAAGAAAAGGGGGAAAAGAAAGAAGAAAGGGGAAAAAAAAGAAGAAAGGGGGGAAAGAAAGAAGAAAATTACTGCAAAAAAAAAGAAGGGGGGAAAAAGAAAGAAGAAAGGGGGAAAAAGAAAGAAGAAAGGGGGAAAAAGAAAGAAGAAAGGGGGAAAAAGAAAGAAGAAAGGGGGAAAAAGAAAGAAGAAAGGGGAAAAAGAAAGAAGAAAGGGAAAAAGAAAGAAGAAAGGGAAAAAGAAAGAAGAAAGGGAAAAAGAAAGAAGAAAGGGAAAAAGAAAGAAGAAAGGGAAAAAGAAAGGGAAAAAAAAAAGAAAGAAGAAAGGGGGAAAAAAAAAGAAAGGGGAAAAAAAAAAAGAAAGGGGAAAAAAGAAAAAATAAAAAAAAAAGAAAAAGAAGAAAAAAAAAAAAAAGAAAAAGGGAAAAAAAGAAAAAGAAAAAAAAAAAAAGAAAAAAAAAAAGAAAAAAAAAAAAGAAAAAAAAGAAAGGAAAAAGAAAAAAAAAAAAAAAGATAAAAAAAAAAGAAAAAGATAAAAAAAAAGAAAAAGAAAAAAAAAAAAAAAAAAAAAAAAAAGAAAAAGATAAAAAAAAAGAAAAAGATAAAAAAAAAGAAAAAGATAAAAAAAAGGAAAAAGATAAAAAAAAAAGAAAAGATAAAAAAAAAAAAAAAGATAAAAAAAAAAAAAAAGAAAAAAAAAAAAAAAAAAAGATAAAAAAAAAGAAAAAGAAAAAAAAAGAAAAAGATAAAAGAAGAAAAAAAAAAAAAAAAAAAAAGAAGAGCTACAGCAACTTCCATGATAAATTTCATCTCAACATCAAGAAACTGATTAGCCAACTGGAAAGGATCAGTATAAAAATAAGTAAACACAATATGTCTCTAATATTCAATGAAATATATCAAGAGTCGGCAACCTAAGGCATTTTGACCAGCCCGCGAGCCTAATTACCAATGACTATTTTTAACATGAGAGACGAGGCTTTCATAAAACATTCCTATAACTTCAAACACATAAAATTAAATAAAAAACTTAATTGCAGTACCATGTCAGTGGTCTCTAACAAAATGTGTGTGTGTGTATATATATATATATATATATATATATATATATATATATATATATATAAAAAAAACATTGAAGTTTCTTGGTAAATTTTCATTCTTCAGGGGGTTCTGGTTTTAAAACAAGAACCCCTGAAGAACAAACATTCACCCAAAACTTTGAAATCAGGGAAAACAAAAGAAATTGATATTTAAAAGTTAAGTAATCTTTTTATATAATATTATTAATGATCTATTGTTAAAATTATTTCCAGTTTTATTTATATTATATATTATAATATATATATATATATATATATATATATATATACACACACACACACAAACACAGTCTCTCTGGATTATCTTCAGCTATTGAGAACCAGTTGTACATCCCTGATGTAACTTGGCAACTAATCAGACAGGACCTTACTGCGCATGTGCATCAGTTGACAGTTGCAAAATTATCGATCAATGAAGGACTTTCCAACTGACACATTTTCTTGAAACATTCCACTCCACTCATAAATTAGTTCTGTGGATGAGATTATGGGGAATGTGACAAGGCACCAGGTGACAATCTTGAAAAAGGAAAGGAATGCACTGGAATAAGAGTGTCATGTCCACACCATTGCTCAAAATCAGCATTTTTTTTGGGTTTTTTTTTTTTTTATCATCTTTTAATGGTTGGATATTTTCTGAAAAGATCGTGCACCTCTAAGGGGTTTAAACTTTCCCCATAAATAAAATGCTACCAAAAAATAAAGAAGCCTTTTTCTAGGAAGATTAGGCTTATACCTTTGGTGAGGGGTCCCGAATAATAATGGTCAGCAAGGAACGAACTTGTTGGGTATTAGCAGCCACGGGTAAATCAGGGACAAATGACATCCAGTAACCAAAAATTACTTTGCGATCTGTAAACTAGAAAAACAGATAAAATGCAATAGAGTAAACAAACACACACATCAAGCATTAATGCATTGTTAAGCCATTTTATATAAACAAGACAAGAATTGTTATTGGGCTCATCTCAAAAGCCATTGTTAAGGAGTATAACAAGGATTTGTAGAACAATATTCAAACTGCTAATGTCAAAAGCCATTGATAGCAAGTTCATTGTTACTATCTGCCTGAATCTAGAGAAATATCAAATTATCTAAGAAAGAGAAAACTTAGAAGAGATAGACAGATTGAGAGAAAGACGGACAAGTAACAAACGTAGACGGACAAGTAACAAACGTAGACAAATAAGTAACAAACGTAGACAAATAAGTAACAAACGTAGACAAATAAGTAACAAACGTAGACAAATAAGTAACAAACGTAGACAAATAAGTAACAAACGTAGACAAATAAGTAACAAACGTAGACAAATAAGTAATATAGATATAGATAGAAAATTAAATATAAAAACAAAAGGTAAGCATATACTTACCTTAATAATGGCATAAAGGCAACCCAACGCAGCCTGTCGTACTTTGGTGTATGCTGATCTTTGTTTCCCAGTGAGATAAGACCCATCACCGTCGGACAATTCTGATTCTGAGCTACTCATCTGAAATCTACGACCAAGCCCATTAACCTGGTTATTGACAAGGTTACAAAGCAAAGGGTCATCTATGGACGACATTTCATCACATTTGCCCATCCCAACTTCAGTGTCATCGTCGTCATATTTTGTCCCTGCCTTTCTCATTAAAACTTTTTTCTTTTTCTTCTTTAGCTGCCCTGTTGCGCTTTCACCCTTTGCCGTCCGAGTATTGGCTTGCGACAGGTTATACTGGTTCATTGGAATAGGATACAAACTCACAGGAATGGTCAGTGGATAATTTGGAAGTCCATGGAACACGTAGGCCTGCAAATAAACGTAAGACTAAACAGGTTTGGGAAGTAGAACTGACAACGTAAAAGTGATTGTCTTGACAAAGTTTATACTATTTACATTATTCGGACTATTGTCCTCATCTTTGTCGCCATATTTATTACATTTTGGCCGTTGTATGCTCTTCTTCAGGTGGTTGGAATGCCAAACTGAACCCTTTATTTCGCTCACTGGGGTAGACTGTTCTAGCTCCTTGTGCCACATTTAATGGATGTCAATTATCAGTTATCTCCTGTTAATTTCCCTCTGCAAGTTCTCCACTGCCTTAACAGGGTATTAAACTCACAACTCTTTGGGTCCTTAAGGACACATGGCACAGTGGATAAAGGCATTGGTTAGATCCAGTGACAGGACCAAAAGTATGTGAGTTCAATACCTGGTTAAATCAGTGGAGAAACTTGGTCAGGGGAATTTTTCTCTAAGATAACTGACATCCATTAAACATGACACGTGGACCTAGGACAGTCGACTCCAGTGAGCGAAATCAGGGTTCAGTTCAATATTCCAACCACCTGAAGAAGGCCGGAGCATACAATGGCCAAAACATTGTAATAAATATGGTGACAAAGATGAGGACAATAGTCCAAATCATGTAAATAATGCACATAATATCTCAGAAATATAGACATATTGAAGAAATTTGTTCTATTCACTAACAATTACGTAGATGTAGATACGAACAAGTTTTTTGGAGTCCTCTTCAGAGGGTGCAGGACAACTCATCACCGAGACAACTGAACACCGGAAAAACTTTTTTTTTTTTTTTTTTTATAACCCAATAAAAGTAATTTATTAAGGACTAAAAACTTAATTAGTGAATATTTTTCTTCACTTAAGGCATTTGAAAAGATTATGTAAAACATGAACCAGCTTTTTTTTTTAATTATTTTTTAATAAAGTAAAACAAAGAAATTTATTTTTTTAATAAAGTCAATTGACATATAAAAATAAAAATTTTGATTTACTTTATTAAAAAAAATAAATGACATTATGATTTACTTACATAAAAATAATTAAAAACAAAAAACTGCTACATTTTGTTTTGCATTTTCTTTGATTTACTTAATTAAAAATAATTAAAAAGCATTTTACTGAATTATTTTTTGTCTATATTCCTGAGATGAGGTATTATGTACATTATTCAAATACAGCATGTGGAACTAGAACAGTCTACCCCAGCAAGCGAAATAAAGGGTTTAGTTCGACATTCCAACCACCTGAAGAAGGCCGGAGTGTACAATGGCTGAAACATCGTGATAAATATGGCGACAAAGATGAGGACAATAGTCCGAATAATGTAAATAATGAATCATTTTTTATATAAAAAAAAGTCCGGAGTTTTGGCAGTGTCGAGTTGTCCCTTCCCAATCTTCAAAATATGGTGGTTATCATATTTTTTGAAAAATATTAATCCCTTGGATATGTTTCCTGGCAATTTTCCCCAATTTACTTTTAAGGATCTGCTATGCAAAAACTTGATTAAGAGCCAGGAAAGCAGCTAGTTTTAAAGATGATGACATTTGGGGGGGGATTATTACATCATAGTTGTAATAATTAACAACATGGCTCTGGGTAAAATATTTTTCAAAAGGAAATGCATCAAATTTCTAAGGGCCAAAATATTTGAATGCCACTTCATTGAAATTCAGTCACATATAGATAACTTCAAAAACAGGGTTAGATCCATACAAAACTGCTTTTTTGGATGGAACAGATAAGGGAGAGTATAAGATAAAGCTTAAGGGCGAGAGAAAAGCAAAGGTACAAAATAATGGACAATCATAGTTGTATTGGAGGGATAAGGGAAAGAATGAGAGGATACAGCTTAAGGGCGAGAGAAGAGCAGAGGCATGAAATAATGGACAATATTAGTTGTATTGGAAGGGATAAGGGAGAAAACGAGAAGATACAGGTTAAGGGTGAGAGAAGAACAAAGGTGAAGAGGCATGAAATTAGATGCCAATATCCATCGAATTTCTGAGGTCCAGCAAACATGGCATAATTCTCTTGAGAAAAGAGACAAGTTTTTGATGATGACAATGTTCCTTACCCAAACACCAGAAAGCAAAGGTCCAAGGTTATCAGTGGGCACAAATCGGGTTGCCAGAACGACATTATGTAAGCCGCGTAATGTATGACAAAGAATCTGCAAGGAAAAAAAAAAAAAAATTTCATTTTTCTTGTAAGCATTTAATTTTTTTTGTCCTTTTTTTTTACATTTTTTTTTTTTTTTTAAAACCATTTATTTTTTCATTATTTTTTTTTATTATGTTTATAGATTAAATTCTGGAGTTGCTTTGCAGCCTCATAATTAAAAGATTACAAGTGAGGTTATCTGGGATAAAAAAAGAAAAGAAAAGAAAAAAATCAGAAAAATTTAATGGATTGTTTGTTTCAATCATGTCACTCCCAAAGCAAGAAAATAATGCCACTAAGACATATGGGCTAACTGGGTGTGAGAGAGAAGGAGAGAGAGAACAATAAAAGAAGAGGAATTACTAAGAAGACAGAAGATAACGATTGGCATTACATCTAAATTTAAATTAAAGGTCAAAGTTGACTCACAAGCGAGAAGTGCAATAGAAGAAACTGTTAGCATAGAACTTACAGTTACATTTAGTCATTTCAATGATAAAATGATGAGAACTTTCTGCCAATCTAGTACGACGCTTAAATTTATGAAGTCCAGGTACCATAAAGGAAACTTCAACAGAACAGTTACCATAAAAATATTCATAGAAAACTCATTTGTCTTCTACAGTTTATCAACCCTTTGCAGGTTATTTAAAGCCAGAGAAATATTTTTAGATCATAAGGATTTTTTTTTTTTTTTTTGGCAATAATGATTTAGTGAAACAAGTCTTACAAATTAACCCACAGAGGTGAATCTGATCAGAATAGGATAAACAAAAGAAATTATGTGCATATAAGTGGAGGGGTCAATTACATATTATAATCAATATATAAAATGATCCTTGACTTTGTGACAGCGGCTGCTTCTTACCTAATCAATATTTCATTGATTGATGGATTTGTTTTCTATGGCTTATTGATCCTTGTAGGTTAATTAAAACCAGAAAATATTTTTAAATCATAAGAATAGTTTCAGATCATAAGAATTTTTTTTTTAGCAATTATGATTTAGTGATACACTTCTTAATTAACCCATAGCTGGAGGGGAGAAGAGGTGGATTCATACCTTTCCCAAAGATATTTGTGCATAAGCGAACACAATGAATTTGCCTGGAATGGTAACTTGACGCTTCGATAAACAATTCCAAACAACAATCAAAACATCAAACCAAACATGCATCCAACCATACAGTGCCTGGTATTATCAAAGCAGTCACCCATCTAGATAATGACCAGGCTCGATGTTGCTTAACTTTGGTGATCATACGGGAACCAGTGTATCAGCTCATGACTATAAGCCTCATAGAAAAAGCACAACAGTAAAGTGACAAGTCGAGATGCCAGGTCAAGACCAATAACATCGCAGATTTTATTTAGAATCTCTACATATATAGCAACCTATTGCAGGAAAATAATCTGCCTCGTCAGTCATGTATCGAAAGATACATGATCGCCTAAGCGTGTATCATGCATTGCACATAACTGACTGATTGACTTTCCAATCGAATCCAATACATTCACTTATGTGCTAATACCTTTGGAAAAAAAAGTATGAATCCTCCTCTTCTCCCCCAAGTTATGGATAAATAGCAGGACAGACCGGGTTCTATAGCCTTGGATAGCAGCTGGTCTACCACAGAAAGAAATGGCAACCTACTGCGGGGGGAAAAAAAAACTACCTCGTTAGTCATGTATCAAATGATACATGATCGTCTAAGTGTTTATCACATGTGGCACATGACCAACATATAGAGTAGAAGCACCAGACAATATTCAGCACATTTTAAAATTAAATTATTTTTCTAATAAAATAAATAGAATCCCTGTATCATTCAGTATTTGTCGAGTCACCGGTGCATTAAGCGCTTTTGACCGAGAAAAGAAAGAGGAAAGTTTGGTGAGAAAAATTAATAAAACACGAGGAAAGCAAATCAAGTAGACACCCTAACTTTAGTCGGTTCTCAAAAGTAGTTGAACCAGACATCTTTCTTCACCATAGCGCCTGATCAAAATTTTAGGTTGCCTTAAGAGTGTAATTGCCCCCAAAGTTTTTTTTTTGTTGTCAGGTGGCACTGGGAGGGTTTAAGAGTGCCAGCTGACATTTTAGTATCATTATATAGACATATTTGTACCCAGTGGGTTGCAATGTAACTTACCCGACATTTGGCCATCATATCCATTGTAAGGCTTGGGATATCATAAAGAACCTTGTGGAAAATCTCCAGACATGTCAACACATATTTCTCATCAAGATACGGGAAACTGGCAGTCCTTTAGAAAATAAAAAATAAGAAAAGAAAATCAATAAAAATGAGGTTGGTTTGTTTAATGGCACATCAACTACTTATGGGTCATTTAATGTCAAAATTTAATTTTCTTGGGAATATTAGTAATTTGTTTTGTAAATGTAATTTTTTTTTTTTTTTTAAATTAAGAAAATGTTTTGCTGGTATTTTTAATATCAATTATTTTTTATACTTTCATAGTGCTTTGACTCCAGTTTGGGGGTTAACTATTTGCCCATAGCTGGGTCCCTAACA